GATAAAATTTCAAATTCCAAGGTTGACTAGATTGTACTTGTACCCGAATTGCCGTCTAATTTGGGCTCTGTTCGCACATAGGTCAGGCCACGCCCAATAATAGTGGAAACACTGTTCCTAGGAACTGGAGCACCGCTTTCCGAGGGAGTGGCTTGGGCATCTCGTTTCCACTGCAAGCTCCTGGCACCAGGTTTGACATGAAGCCAGGGCCTAAACGCCCCTGACATACCTCTGGCGAAAGCAGACCTGGTAAACCTTCCAGCAGTAAAGGAAGAGCCCCGAGGAATTTGAGCCCAACTCATAATAGGAGCAGCTTCTTGATTAGCAGAGCTTCTTTTCACAACCTGCCAGAGAAAGAGGCAAACAAAGTTCAGTTCAGCGGCATGAACATCTTTGTGAGCTGGAAACCAACAGCAACGTGGAAACTGAAAGCAAGAAACTATAGGTTCATGGAACCAGCAATACTTTGCATAGCCTGAAACACAGCACAAACCTACAGATCACAATTTCACAGGCTGACAATTGTAGACATGATGCACATAAGATGTTAGATTGTTCACATGTTTATATGATCAATAAACAACCAACTTGAAACCTTGTTTTGGAGGCGTGGTGGAGGGAAGATTTAGGCTTCAAAGCCATGCACAAATTCCAAGCGCACAAATTCCAAGCGCACAAATTCACTCAACTCAAGTTTTTAAAAAAAAGATGGGTAAAAAAGAACATGAGTAGTGCCGTTTCACACTCCTCATATGATAGATCCCCATATAATGTCATCACCAGATCAGCCCTTAGGGGTCCATATTATAAATCAAGGGTACAACCTCCAGCCATACTCAGATAACCACATCCATTGCAAGTCCAATTACATACAAAGATCTGGTAACATCTCCCAACATAAGTACCATGTTAATACAACTAATCTCCTAGAAACTCCAGATATAATTAACACTCAAAATCCCAGATATTTAGGCTACCTAGCATGACAAAATGAGATTGGGAGAGGGAGAGAAATCAACAACCATCCCTGAACAGAAAATAAAACCACACAAGAAGCCAAGAAAAAAAAGGAATCCAAAAATTTGGATTTCCAAGTGAAACTAGGTTACCTTAAGTATTCGTGACATGAATGATGTTCCATCAAGAGATAATGCATTGTCTGCTGCCTCCTTTCGCATGAACTCTACATAAGCTGACCTGATTAGGCATTGTGTCTTTGTAAGAACTAGTTAACAATAATATAATACAGACAAACAAAAAGAGAGTGGGAGATAAGTTC